GAAGATAACTGTTCCACCAGGCATATTTTGCTTATATCTTTTTCTTATTGTCACTAGTGAAAAATTTATCATTTTATATCACTTAAGAAGAACTTACAGAATGAACCATTGAATCCCCCCCCCCCCAGCTGGGGATTGAAGGGGATTCACACATGCAAGGCAAGCACTCTATGACTGAGCCACATCCCTAGCACCATGAATCAATGAATTTTTATAGTAATATTTTAGCATTAGTTTCAGAATTTCATCAATTACTGTATTTGAATTATAGACTTAACATTTCAAGTAATAATTTTTAAACTTTCCTTTCACCTAAAGTTTAAAAAATTTTTTCCCAATAACTTTCAGAATGTTATATATGTATGTGAAACATTAGGTTATGTTAAGGGAGGGAATATTGGCGAACAGAGAAAGGAGCCAACAATTATTGGTTATTTACTGTATATTAAGTGAGTTTAAATGAATAGATCATGTAGCTACTATAAAGCACAATAGACTCATTGTTTTGAACACATGAAAGCATCATTCTAGAGGAGGAGTGTTGTGGAATGTATCTGTTGAGTTAGATCTACAGAAAGAATAAAAATTTCCAAATGGCTCAAGGCAGGCAGGAAATGCTAGCTACCATGTGAACTTGGAGAGAGTTTGTGGAATGGCCCTGCATGATTAGAACTAAGAAGTTTGAGTCACTTAAAATGTTGCAGGAGAGGAAAAAGTCACTGGTAAATCAGAAATGCCATAGCTTGCTTTTTTTGTTTTGTTTTTGTTTTTTGTTTTGTTTTGTTTGGTTTGGTACCAGGGATTCTACCCAGGGGCACTTAACCACCCCACCAAGTCTCATCCCCAACTCTTTTTATTTTTTAATTTTTGAGACAGGGCCTCATTAAGTTGCTTAGGACCTTGCTAAGTAGCTGAGGCTGGCTTTGAATTCCCAGTCCTCCTGTGTCAACCTCCAGAGTCACTGGGATTATAGGAGTGCACCACCATGCCCAGTGTGATAGAATGTTTTGAAATTTTTGAAATTTAAGGTACTAGGTTAAATTCAATTTCCTTCCTTGATAGGAACTTCAGAAGCATTCAGTTTCTGTGTTTATTAATCTCTATAATCAATCACTATAGAGTTCCTTTAATTTAAGAGACTATTTAGTTTATTTATGTCTCCTGAAGGGAAAAAAAATCACATAATATAACAAAAAGTAAAAATCTATCTGATTTACAAACCAGAGTATACAAACACAAAACATAACTTCAGTTCTATAATTTCAGTCATAGTTCAAGAGTAAACTCAAAAACATAAGAAATCCCAGGTCTAGATATCAAATACACTGTTCTCCACTGTGGATACAAAATTTCTGATGGATTTGAGTTTACAATGCACAATGAACAATGTTAAAAATTCCTAAAAATAGATTCTTTCCTATCTCTCCTACCACAGAGATCTTCAGAATTCATTGATTCACTTAGATAACCAAATGATAAGATATAAAGTGAGATTTCTAATCATTGCTGCTACCAGTGAATAATAGCTTATTCTGATCTAAGCAAAGAGGAAACATAAATGAAACACAAAACCTGTAAGGAAAAAAGTAAAACTAGACATATGGCATGTTAGCAAAGTTGGGAGAGCCACAGAAAATATGAAGAATGAGTTTCAACTGAAACTCATTCAAGATGAATCTACCGTTTGTTTCAAAGGGACCTTTAAAATAATGAAGGATAATTTAAAAACTGATTATTAGATGGATGTAAATGAACATGTATTACAGATTTCATTTAACTTTAGTTAATAAAAAAATCCAGAATTATGTTAAAAATGATTCAAAATGCCAAGTAGATAATTCAGTGGTAGAGAACTTGCCTAGCATGCCCAGGGCCACAGGTTCAGTCCCCAGTACTGGAATAAATTTAAAAAAGAATGGGTTCACGTGGACATAGCAGTGCACACCTCTAATTCCAGAGGTTCTGGAGACTGAGGCAGGAGGATTTTGAGTTCAAAGCTAGCCTCTACAACTTAGTGGGACCTTAAGTGATTCAGTGAGACCCTGTCTCTAAATAAAATACAAAGAATAGTAGGGATGTGGCTCACTGGTTAAGTGTCCCTGAGTTCAATTCCTGGTACCCTTCCAAAAGAAAGAATGGGTTCAAAGAAGAATTTACAGATAATACCAAAATATATCAGTTCATCAGGAATGTCAAACTTAATCACGAGTAATTAATATACTTAACAGTAGGAAAGCTGGCATATTTCATAATAAGGGAGGATTCAGATGAAACTTCACTAGATACCAATTCATTGGACATGAATTATTTGTGGTACAGAGTTGCAAAATAGTCTAGTTGAAAATAATAAATGAGAGGAATTCATTATGAGTGATATAGCATCTTTCYCAATTTTCCCTTACAGGAGTATATTCATTCATTTCACAAATATTATTGAACATTTACTAAACTCCAGGTGCCATTCTGGGATCTTGGGGTTCAGAAATGAACAGAGGAGGCAAACAGCCCTATCCTATGGAGCCTACATCCCAGAGATCAGTTTGTTTGGGATGCATTGAGTTTGCAGTGATGATAGGATAAACATGCAGATTTTTTTTTTTTTTGAACCCAGCTACATCCTGAGCCCTTTTAAGGTTTTATTTTGAGACTTAGTCTTGCTCATTTGCTTAGGGCCTCAATAGTTGCTAAGGCTGGTGGGATTACAAGGGTGTGCCACCACACCTGGCTCACAGATATTCATTTGAATACCTCTGGAGGTCAAAAATACTAAAAATAAAAAAGATATAAAGATTAAAGACTTAGATGAGATTCTTTGAGAGTCTGAGCAGATGGTCTATGTTTGTTTTCATGTTTGGACTAACATTTTTCTTCAGTTCTCATTTGTTACATTAACTCTTAATTATCTTAGTTTAATGACATAATATCAATAAATTTTAGCTTCTTACTAGTCATATATTTTAGGATCATATTTTTAGAAACATGCTAAACAATATTTCTGTATTTATATATTATCATAATCATCATCCTCATTATCATTTTTGATGCTGGTTATTGAACCCAGGAGCTTGCTCATACTAAGCAATGCTATACCATTGAGCTGCACCCCAGCTGTGTTATGAATTTTTATCTCTCAGTAGCAAAAATACTTTACTTAATGCCTTAAAATGTAAAAATCATTGAATAGTTTTCTCTCCATGGTACTTTTAGTTGAATGCTGCATGTGGATTAATTGTGTATTCTGAAACACACTGTAATTTGGTGGGAGACAGAATCTGCACTTAACAATATACAGGTTTTGACAGCTTCATTGTTCTTCCATTTAAAAATAATCACAAATTGAAACCAACTGGTGCCTCCATCCCCCAAATAAATAAAAGCTTATTATGTTCTCTTGTGAAAAAATGGCTCAACATTTTCCTATGTCATTCTGGATTCATGAAACTTTTTTTTTTTTTCCTATCTGGCAGAGCCTCATTGTACTTTCGCTTTTTTTATAATTTGGTTAGTTTATATTCATGAATGACTATTTAAAATCAGAATCAACAATGAGAGTCTGAAAATTTTTATTATGTAATTGTGCATTTTAGCAGGAGCTTCACAAATTTTCATTTAACAGAATTTATCATGGTTCTCACAGGAAGCACTCAGGCAGTTCTTCAACTGTGTACCTAGGGATTACTTCCATAGTCTTGAAGAAAGTTATTGAACAGTAGGAATTAATATAATTAATATAGTCATGCATCACTCAATATGAGAATATTTTCTGAAAAATGCATATTAGCAATTTCATTATTGCTTGAACATTAGAGAATGTACTTAGACAAACCTAGTTGACTTGCATTAAACACAAGATTTATGAGGCTTCTGCCAGTGTAACATGGAATAGTATTTTATAACCAACTTACTTTTAATAAATAGAAGGTATACTCTATAAAGAAATGATAAAAATAATATTATGTACTATGCATAATTGCACATGCTACACTTTTATATGGCTGGCAGTGCAATAGGTTAGTGGACAGCAGCATCTCCACAAATGTATGACTACTATGTTAGGCTATGACATTACAGCAACTATAATTTTACTAGACAATAAGGATTTTTCAGGTGTATTATAAACTTATGGGACCACCATCATAGATTATAAAGGTAAATGTTCAAATAATAGGCTTATGTTCCTTCTGTTTATTAATTAATAATAGGATGTCTTCATTAATGTTTTAATACTTAAAGTAAGATGTATTTAAAGTTTTTTGAACAAATGCCCAAGATATTTAATAGACTACTTAGAATTGTAAATAAGTATCCATAATACAGCTTTGAGAAGGAAGAATATAAATATTAGGTAGTTTTGAAAAACTGACTTCAAATTGCATGCTTAAATACTTAGGTGTAAATTGTCACAATGTCTGCAACTTCCTTACAAAGCAACTCCCTTACAGAGCATTCAATATTAAAGATTGTTGAATATAGGTGATTGATATACATATTTTTATTCTTGTTTAATTTTCTGTAGTTTTGTGATTTTTCATAATAAAATGTTGGAAGAAGGGCTGGGATTGTAGATCAGTAGTAGAGCACTTGCCTAGCATGGGTGAAGCACGGGGTTCAATTCTCAGCACCACACATATCTAAGTAAAATAAAGGTTCATTGACAACTAAAAAAATGTTGGAAGAAAACTGTAAAACTGTAAATATAATACCATATTTGAGGTAATTTATTCCTTTTAAAATTCTAGGAAAGTTAGAATGCAAGCTCATAACACCAATAAAATTACAAGGATTTACAATGTAATTGGAACTATTAGAGGATCTGTCGAACCTGGTGAGTCATCAAGTTCTTTTAGCAGTTTTTACAAAGATTAAGTGTAAGAAAACATAAATTTCATTCTTCAATTTATATTTTTCTGAATTATTTGCAACTACTAAATTT